GCGATCCGCTCTGAACAGCTGAAAGCCCAGGAGACTCAACGCTCTGTCCGGAATGGCGTCTTTCAGCCAGGTTTCCATGAAACACAGAGCAGCAGAGTTTGAAAAATCCTTATTTGTCCGGAAGAGCAGAAGGAGTTCATCCGTTTTGTTGGGTAGAGAGCATAGGTTGGCCAGATGGATGCTTGGCAACGACATTCTGAATCCGCGCTGTCTGAGCTTGACGAGCGCGCCGGCTCGCTTCCGGCCTCTGCGCATCCTGAAGCGCTTGATCAGCACAGCAGCTCCGCTGACTACAATGTCCAGCAAAACATCAGAATAGTCGAAAACCGGTGAAATATCGGGTGGTGTGTACTGCCGAATGTCCAGCAATTTGTCTCTGGTGAAACTGATTGCAGGGATATAACTAAAGACAGGACAAACTAACAAAAACATAAAAACAACTACGGAGCACGCCACGGAGGCAGCCATTAGCGTCGGTGCCATCGTGCCATTTAGTGTTTGTTAGTGATTTAAAATTCCATGGTGTGCATGACTGCAGTTGTAAGTTTTCTAGCGGAAAATGAGCCTGAATATGTAGAAATTAACATGAGAGTCCCCACACCCCAGATGGTGTGTGCTGCCGAATGTCCAGCAATTTGTCTCTGGTGAAACTGATTGCAGGGATATAACTAAAGACAGGACAAACTAACAAAAACATAAAAACAACTACGGAGCACGCCACAGAGGCAGCCATTAGCGTCGGTGCCATCATGCCATTTAGTGCCATTTAGTGTTTGTTAGTGATTTAAAATTCCATGGTGTGCATGACTGCCGTTGTAAGTTTTCTAGCGGAAAATGAGCCTGAATATGTAGAAATTAACATGAGAGTCCCCACACCCCAGATCAGTCAATGAAATAAAGAAAGAAAGATCATAGCATTTCATATGCATTTCGATGTGTAGGCTTATTTTAAAATAGACTAATATGTATATGGTGTACATTTTTTAATGTTGCGTATAAACTATGTTTATTTTTACTTGTACATGTCAAAGAAGTAAAAATAATGATAATAACAATAAAACTGTAATACTAAACTGTATAGCGGCCACTATGTGTCTGCATAGCATTTTATATAAATATACGGGCTGTAATATCAAGATGGTGAAACAAGACACGGTTTTTAATAGTTTCAAATAGTTTTTATTAGTTTTAATTTTAAAGTCATAGTTAAATAAAAGTACTTAGATATTGATTTTTTGACATATTTACATATGTAACTTGAAGTAATCCAAAAGTAATCAGATTACATTACTTTTATATTGTGGTACTTGGATTACGTTACTGAATACTTTGTTAATGAAGTAATTTGTAACTGAAACGGAATACATTTTAAAAGTATCTCTCCCAACCCTGTATACTGTATATATAAATGAAAAATAGACAGAAATTGTATGTACAGGTGTGCTATATATGGAGAGCAAGATGTAGGGATGAACTAAGATGGGTGGTATCAAATAAATATAAGTGGTATTGCGCATATTTTTATTAGACAATGGGGAGAGCATTTAATTGTTCACGAGGTAGATTGCCTGGGGGAAGAAACTTTTTTGTGCCTGGCTGTCCTGGTGTTCGGTGCTCTCTAATGCCGACCAGATGGCAAAAGTTTAAGGCTTGGATGTGAGGGATCCAGAGTGATTTTCTGAGCCCTTTTCCACACTCTGGATATATACAGTTCTTGAAGGGTGGGCAGGGGTGGGCAGGGGAGCACCAATCATCCTTTCTACAGTCCAGACCATACTCTGTAGTATTCTAATATCTGATTTTGTAGCTGAGCCAAACCAGAAAGTTATTGAACTGCACTGGACAGATTCAGTGACATCTGAGTTGAACTGTATCAGCAGCTCCTGTGGCAGGTTGAACTTAACACATCCCTGAGGGGCACCAGTGCTGATGATGCGGGTGTTGGATGTAAATTTACCAATTCTCACTAGCTGTTGTCTATCTGTCAGAAAGCTGGTGATCCACTGACAGATGGAGCTAGGAACAGAGAGCTGGGTTAGTTTGGTCTGGAGGAGGTTTGGGATGATGGTGTTGAAGGCCGAACTGAAGTCCACAAACAGGATCCTGACATAATTCCCTGATTTGTCTAGATGTTGAAGGATATAATGCAGTCCCATGTTGACTGCATCATCCATGGACCTGTTTGCTCGGTAAGCAAAGTTAC